TCTAATGCTAGAACTATTGCCAATGACAGGCATTCAGAGCCATCTAAAGAGAGAACTGCTCCTAGTGACCACTTATGGGATAGTGCACCAGAACCTAATGGGGGTGGGAGAAGGAAAAAGAATGACAAGACAACAACTGTGCAGTATCACATGCCCAAATCATAATCCCACAGCCAGTTTAACTGTGATTTTCAAGCTTTTCAAGTCCTGCTAGTGGACTACGGGTAGAGAGCCAGCTCCTCTTCCTCTTCATATTCTGCTGCTAAGTCAGGAAGCTAAAAACACATTTATTTAATGCCTTCTAAGTATTATTTTCCATATAAACAACTGGTATAGTTGTCACAGAAGAGTTACAGAAATGGTAAGTGATTTTGAATGGGAGGATAGGCGGCTCACAAGACAATGTCTTTCTAAGATGTGGAACCCCTGGCCTTATAAAGATACCTGCTACTGGAACTAAAATTCATGAGCCACCTGCCTACAGAAATTCTGTAACTCCCTGAAAATGTAGCTATGGTATGCAGCTTGGTTTCTACTTTTCTTAATAGAGACATGTATAACTGCTTTACAGCAGATACTGGGCTAAACAGATGTTCAGTTTGATTGGTCATGAAAGTACTAAACATTTATTCAGCACAGACTGTGCTTTAATAAAGTTTACTACTATCTTCTACTCATACTTAACAGCTCAGCAAACAAAATGTGTAAGAAAACAGTTTCTGACTTAAACCTAGAAAACCTGCCACGATGGTGAAAGTAGTAGTAAGATTTAAACCCGAGCCTTAATTTTCATTCTTCACTCAAATTTTCTTTGTTTTTCTGGGTAAAAACAGACAAAACTTTAAATATCAATCATCACTACTACTATACTACCATGACCCTGAAAGAGACAACATGAAAAAGTGGACAACAGACAGACAACTCAGGACTTGTGTATACACTGAGTTATTCAGAATATCTACTGTGGAAGAATTCCATGTGTGGACACAGTTATTCAGGAATAAGAGTGTCCACACATGGAGTTATGCCAAAATAGTTATTCTGCTTTAAATTCATAATCTACCTTATTCCAGAATAACTTTAACATGTAGACAAACCCTTAGATACTATGGTGATGAGAGTTAGAAATACTAAATAAATTAACCCTAATACTTTTGGGGAGCCATTATGGGCCATAATGTAAATATATTACAGTGTTCAAAACAAATCTCCATTTGCTCCATCATCTTTGGAACCATCATTACTGACTTTTATACTTTCCACTTCTCAAACTGTCTCAGAGGATATCAAAGTTCATGACAGATAATAAAGTAAACTTCACAGCAGCCCCTAAGGCAGGGATGTTCTATGCTTATTTTACAGTCGAAAAAGTTAAAGCACAAAAAGGCTTACTGACTTGTCCAGTATCACATAGGAAGTCTGTGGTACAATCTGGGACAGTCCTAATATCTTCCGGCTACCCTCCAAGCTTCCCTTGAAAAGTTTCATTTTCAAGTCAGACTCAGCACTTTCGTCATTAGCATTTCTAATCTAATGCTGATGCACAATACTAAACACTAAGAAAAAGTACATTTTCTCCACCATAAAACTCCAAAAAGAACAGTTGATGTTTATTATTAATTATATGGGAGCACGAAAATTTTCTAGCTAACCTCTACTGTATTTTGCACTAAAAACAGTACATGAGATCTCAGTCAATTGGCAAAAATTAATTTTCATTGTACATGTTATTTCCTAATTAGAGAAAAGGTGGGTAAGGTAATATTTTTTTATTGGACCAATTTCTGTTGGTGAAAGATCCTGAAGGAGAGCTCCTCATAGCTTGAAAGCTTGTCTCTTTCACCAACAGAAGTTGGTCCAATGGAAGATATTACCTCACTGACCTTGTCTCTCTAATATCCTGGAGCCAACATGGCTACAACAACATAGCAAATAAATTATGTAATTAGGACAGTTTGGGCAAAATTATCCATCCTTTTTCAAGAGATTCATCTGTAGGTAATACAAATTTTCCATCTTCAATAGTTCTTGGGTGTCCACCTGGCTGTAGGGATAAATCCTGCTTCCACTAAAATTCTGTTACTGACTTCAGTGGAATCAAGATTTGATGTCTGAACATCCTGCTTCTTCCTTCTGTGAAGATTTTCTTCAATAAGTAGTCTCCAAGTCACTTCAAACTAGGGTGACAAGACGTCCTGATTTTATAGGGACAGTCCCGATTCTGGGGTCTTTTTCTTATATCGGTTTCTATTACCCCCCCACCCCGTGTCCCGATTTTTCACACTTGTTGTCTGGTCACCCTACTTCAAACACTAAACAGTTTAAAAGACCTCAGCAAACACAACCTCTTGACCAGCAAAGCATCACGCAACATACAACTTCTTTGTGGTACAGTTAAATCAAGGATCTCTGACAAACTCCAAATATGAGATCTCTGGCAATAGTTGGATACATCTGATTGGGTATCAAGACAACTACTTTACGTCACACCATTTCAAAATCACTTCAATTTGGGCTGCTCATAATTTATGGCTTGAACAAGTGCTGAAATGAGTTAAAGGGATACTATCAACTTTGAAACTGAATATTTTTAAGTTTCTGATTGAGCTCCATTGAAATAGTACGTCCTGAAAAGTTTTGTTTTGTATTGTTTAAAAGTCCTTTTGTTCATTAAAATTACCTGTTTTTCTGCTCCCCTATTGACATTTAAGGGTCTTTTCAACAAGGGAAAAACTGTTTATATAGGGTGAAAGTGACAATACACATTGTTATCAAATGCACAATGTGAGCAAACCAGAAGGAAAAAGTGTTCACTAAACTGTTTCAGTTAAGGTAATCTTGGATATTATTTTAAAAAAGTTAATACATTTTTAAATGAATTAGCTGGAAGTCACCTGATTTTCTTCTGTGCAAATGCAAAAAACAAAAGATAGTAATTTTCTATCAGCAAAATCAGAGTTTGCAAGTACAACATAATATTAAAATGTATCACACGACATTCCCGAATTTCCAATGGAGGATGTAATGTACAGAATAGGATCTTCCTTTTACACAAAATTTTCTAGCATCTCTGTCAGTCATAGGTAGAAAACAGGCAAGGAAATTTTAGATGCCAATAACTGCTTTTCTGAGGTTTCTGTGAACATATGTGTAAGTCACACAAGTTCTGAATTCTATAATCTGCATTTGCTGATTAAATTTCAGCCATCTCACAAGTGCTTCCATTAAAATAACTCCAGAACAAATGAGATACACAAACTGCCTTTTTTCTAAAAATAGAAGTTAGAAGCACTAGTAATGCATAAACATAAATCCAGAGTGGCCAGAGCTCTACAACACAACCCAAATTATGACAGGTTTCAGAGGAACAGCCGTGTTAGTCTGTATTCGCAAAAAGAAAAGGAGTACTTGTGGCACCTTAGAGACTAACCAATTTATTTGAGCATGAGCTTTCGTGATGAAGTGAGCTGTAGCTCACGAAAGCTCATGCTCAAATAAATTGGTTAGTCTCTAAGGTGCCACAAGTACTCCTTTTCTTTTAACCCAAATTATGGAGACTAGAGATCCAGTTCATCATGATCTGGCAGGCGGCCTCACCATGCCCTCTTGAACTAAGTTGGGGCTACACCTTATGCAGAGATCTGTCTCCACGAGTGCTCACCCAAGGGTAAGGTGCCTACAATCTGTTCCATTCTGTACCTATTAAGAGAGCCTTTTGGTCTCTTGGAAAGTTGAAACCTCTTGGCTCGTCAAAAAATGACCATCCAATCCCTGAAATAAATCATGCAACAGAGAAAGCCTTACAAGTACAGACCAGCACAAGCCTTATACCCGTGGTCCCCAAACTGTGGGGCACGACTGCACCCCTAGCAGGGCACTGAGGAATGTTCAGGGGGGCACGGGTTGGGCCCAGCCCCCACTGGGGTCAGGGAAGGAATACCACACTTCCAGCCCTGTCTGCCCCCAGACCACCTCCACCCCTAGCCTCACTCCTCCCCCAACCCTGTTCAGCCCCTAGTCCTCTCTGCCTCCAGACACAGATACACTAATAAAGGCGTTTTTACTCTCTGCTTGGTTCTCAGACAGAAAAGGTTCTCTTTTGCAACCTGGGCTGGCCTCGGTCACAGCTGATTCATGCCACCTGTTGGGGCTCCACAGATCCTACCAACTTACAAGCCAGCCCCATTACACTGCAGGGGAACTGGAAAGGAAGAAAACACTTGCTCTGACAGACTCCACTCTCCCTTGGGAGAGGATCCTGCTTGTGTTCCAGTCCCTGCCAACTGCAACCTTTTCGCACTTTGATTGAGAAAGGAGTCTTAATACAGCTTTTAGTTTCTCTCTGGAAAGTGAATGGGGGAAAGTTATAGTTTGTATAGAACTATGGGAAATAGCGCATGAGAAAGAAGCCTGTCTATTCAAACACACACACACACACCACTTTCAGTTCCAGAGACCCCCCCATGCCTTTTCCCATATTCAACCCCCTACACAGAGACTAACTCCAGACTCCCCATCCCAAAACACATTACACCTTCCAATGACGTTCAGCTCCACATCCACCCCACCACTGGGCCACCTCCACTGCAAAGACCACCCAGATCCACCACACACAGGGAGACCCCTCTCACAAACAGGGTCCTCCCCGAAAGATACTCCTCCTTACAGGTGGGCCCACCCAGGCAGGGACAAGCAACCACTCCGTCAGAGTCAGACACACACACACACTCTCCCCCGCACGCTACACAGGTCTGGACACCCCCTCCTCAGCCCCTTCACCCCCCCCCCCCCGCCGCCACTCTCCTCAGGACCCCCGGGCAGGTCAGCCCCTCACGTTCACATGGAGAACACCCCACCCCCCACTCACACTCACTCCATCAGCCCCTTCCAGATCCCAGCCTAGCCCAGGAACCCCCATGCAGACCGCAACCCCTCAGCGGCTTCCCTCCAGATCCGACCGCCCCCTGCCAGGCAGACCCGGCCCTGCCCCGCGCACCCACCGCTTTCAGGTCCAGCACGCCGTCCTTGGCCTCCTGCAGCAGCGACACGAACTTGGTGGTGAGGAGCCCCAGGCTCTTCTCGTGCCGGCTGCTGCTGCTGCTGCCGCCGCCGCCTGCCGCCGGGGCCCCCGCGCTGCTGCTGCTGCTGCTGCTCACCGCCTCGGCCAGAGCGGCCATGCTGCTGCCCGCCCTCCAGCGAGCGGGGCGTCCCCGGCGGCAGCGGCGGCGGCTGCGACACCACGTGTCCCGGGAGGCCCCGGCCACAACAATCCGAGCCCTGCAGGAGCCCCAGGGCCGGGGGTGGGGGGGGTGAGACCGTGCGAGGAAGTGACGCTACCCACCGCTGTTGCTTGGAGACGGGCTGTTGGGGGCGGGGCTTCGGGCGCCCCACGGAAGGGCGGGGAGGGAAGGCAGCTCCCAGGAGCGCTCTGGCCGCGGAGCGTGAGCGAGCAGCCCCCGGCCCGCCAGCGCGCAGGGATGGGGCCGCGGGGGTTGTCCCGCCGCCGCCGCCGCCGCCGCCGCCGCAGGCGGGCCTCCGGCGTAGGCAGGGGCAGGGCTCCCCGCGGGCGGGGGCGTATCGCGCCGCGCTGACCGGGGCCGGGGCCGGAACAGTGTTTACAGGGCGGGTGCTGCTGATGGAAACCGTGTATTTGGTGCTTGTTAGTCTTTCTTCAAGCCGCACCGCTCCTCGCAGCACCGCTGGTGGGGAGCGACAGCGTCTCGTTTGAACTCACCCAGCACCCCCTCCCCCCGCCTGGGGTTGTTGCTCAGCCCCGCCCAGCGTGGGGGAGCCCAGGGGCCTGCACCCAGCGTTCCTCTGTTGGCTGTGATTTTTTTCATCGCAGTCAGCGAGTGAAAGCCCGGGTGCGGAAGCCGGGACGCCAGCACTGTCCCCTCCCGCCAAGCCAAGGCAGAGCACTGGGAACCGCGGGAGGGGGCCGAGCCTGGGGGCGGAGCGTGGGCGGCGATGCTGGGCTGTTTGGGAAGGCACAGCGGAGCCGTGCCTACGGTACCTGCCCCCCAAAACATTCAAATTTGACTCCAGCCTAGGTAGGCGCGCAGTGAAACCACCTCCCCCAACGGCATGAACACGTGGCTGACCTCAGGTGCCACAAGTACTCCTTTTCTTTTTGTGGATACAGACTAACGCCACTGCTACTCTGAAAACTGCAAATGTAGATACTGTCCACCCTAACAGTCATCTAGCAGCTTACCCCTCTGGTCATAGTTGTGGACTGTGGTGCCCAGGGTCACGCAGACCAAAGCCATGCCTACCTCCCCCTTAAAAACACTCATATTTTTAAATGCTTTTTTCTGTTTGTCCAGCTTTGCAAGAATGCTTAGCATCTCCCTCTCCTTGGTGTAATTGACCATGCCAGCTCCATCCAGGGAATGCACTCCTGCATGGAGTAGACAGGTGGTATTAGGTCTCCTGGCCCTGTGTGGAGAAGAGGCTGTGCACACACAACTGTGGACCAGCCGTAGAAATGTGGACATCTCAAACAGATTGTAGGGGGCATGCAGGCAAAGGGTACAATGGGGCTGTGTAGCAGTGCCATGTGAAACAAACCATAATCAATCCGGTTCTGAGCCACTTCTTTATTCTTTCACAACACATACTGCAGAATGCATTGCAGTACTTAGATCACTCAAATGTACAGCACCACCCAACTCATAGGTTTAAGAAAACACCCAGTTGTATGTATAACAGTAAAGCAAGCACTGCATAATTAATAGCTTCAGTAGTTATGTGTAGGAAGTGCATAGTGCTTGCTAACAGCACGCAAAGCATCAGGACCAGAGAGCAGTTCAGCAGACAACACACTGTGGCTGACCATTAAAGTGTTCTTTTCAAAGTGCCCCTCAACCACATAGCTCCACATTAATATTTGTAATGACCCTTATATCTGGCTTTTCAAAGTCAGCAGACAGCTGCTCCACCTCTGCCCTCCATCTTGGTAGCAGCTTTTCCCCCTTTGCCTCACAAGATAAGTCTACACTCAGGGCCATCCTTACCTGTACTCAAAGTACACAGCTGTGTGCTGCTCTACCTCTTCCCTATGGCCCCTGCTCCACCCCTGCTCTGCCCCCGCCCTGCATTTTCCTGCCCCTGCTCTGCCCCAGCCCCGCCCCACTCCACCCCTTCCCCTGAGGACTGCAGCAGTGGTCAGGTGCCCTGCAGCCTGCTCCACGCCACCGGCTCCCAGCCGCCCTGCTGGTGAGTGCTGGGGGGTGGTTTCCCCTGCCCTCCAAGTCACAAGACTAGGAGCCAGGGGAGCAGAGTGGAGCGGGCTGTGGCCAGGTCACTCCACTTCCTGCTGCCCTGTGAGTGCAGGATTGGGTCCACCCTGCACTCACCAGGCAGCAGGAAGTGGAGCGACCCAGCCCCATCGCTGCTCCGCTCCGCCGGTTCGTGCTGGGGGGCCATTCCCCCCTGCCCTCCAAGCCTGCTCCTACCCACTCCGCGGAGGCCTGGGGCTACACACACCCACCCTGTGGGGGGGCTGCATAGGGCACCAAAATGGCTAGGGCTGGCCTTGTCTACACTGCACACTTTCTGCAGTGTGTCATGTACGTGTCCCCCTTTCACAGTGTAGATGGTGAGGCAGGCACTGATTAGGTGAGTAAAGACATGCCTGAACCCTGTGGGTATCTACTCAGGTATATACCATACATGACTCTCTACTTGTCCAACAAGTGTTTCCCCTTTGTACACTGCTGTTTTTAGCAGGATAGTGTCCTGTTGCTGGTAGGGAGAGACTCTGGCAGGGGGTAAAGTCTCCAGCAGTTCCCTGCTGCCAGAGACTTTCCCCACCGCAGAAAACTACTGGATACCTATTCATGGTGCACCGCATTTGCATCAAAACAAGCACTCCTGGTGAATATGTGCAGTGCTGATGAAAGCAGCCATGTAAGTATTCAAACGAGCGACATATTAATTTTGGTTGCTGTACACCAATCTAACTTGCATCAACCTAAGCTTGTAGTGTAGACATGGTCCTAGACAAGCCTGGGGTAGGTCTATATGATGGAATGTTCCTCATCCCTTTCCTTAATGAGCAAGCTGATTTTAGGTCAGTAGATAGGTCAGGGGTCAGCTGATGGGTGATCAGATGTTAAAGAAAATTCTCCAAGAGAAGACAAAGTAAACTGGCCTTTCGCAGAAAACACTTAACCCGGAACTAGCCCCAGACGTCTAGAACCTTTTCTTCTAACCCAGGGTTTCCCAAAACTTTGCCCAAACAAAGAGTAAATTAAGGGGAGGGAGGACATGGAAACCACAGCAAATTAGCTTTAAATGAAGCAGTTTTTATGTACAGCAGGTCCCATTTTTGAATGATATAGTCTCCACTAGGATCAAGATAAAGCATTGCTCATTGGGAATTGGAATCTTCACAGCTGCATCCCTCCATAAAAAATAAAGGCAGCCACAGACTGTGTTATAGAATGGTGTGGGTTTCACTTTGGCCATCCCTTTTTCTGTCTGCTTTTTTCTTAGGACCATCAATCCTGCCAGAACTTAAGCACATGTAACTTTACTCATGTGAATAGCCTCACTGAACACTATGCATGTTATTAAGTGTTTGCAGGATCTGGGTCAAAGTTTCCAATAGGCTAAGAAGCCAGATACAAAGACTAGTATTTAGCATTAATATAAAATATTGTGCCACAATATTTAAAAAAAAAAAAAAAAACCTACAAGGAAATACAGACTCCCTCTCAAGGTTGTTCAGGGCAACCACTTTTCTTTCAGTTACAAAGTTTAAAGTCCAAATCAAAAGGAGGTGTGGACTATGTCTCCAACAAATCAGGTCACTGTTACCATGCTGTTAGTCCTCTGATCTGACCATTGCTGTTTTGCTTGGGAGAGAGTGTAACTTTTAAAAAAAAGTAGAGCTTTTCCTTATGGATTTAAAAGTGATATGGAATACTTCTTAGTCAGAGCCAAACTCTTTTAATTATCCTAAATCATTGTGAGTTAGAGTTCATAGAATCATAGAATCATAGAATATAAGGGTTGGAAGGGACCCCAGAAGGTCATCTAGTCCAACCCCCTGCTCAAAGCAGGACCAATTCCCAGTTAAATCATCCCAGCCAGGGCTTTGTCAAGCCTGACCTTAAAAACCTCTAAGGAAGGAGATTCTACCACCTCCCTAGGTAACGCATTCCAGTGTTTCACTACCCTCTTAGTGAAAAAGTTTTTCCTAATATCCAATCTAAACCTCCCCCACTGTAACTTGAGACCATTACTCCTCGTTCTGTCATCTGATACCATTGAGAACAGTCTAGAGCCATCCTCTTTGGAACCCCCTTTCAGGTAGTTGAAAACAGCTATCAAATCCCCCCTCATTCTTCTCTTCTGCAGGCTAAACAATCCCAGCTCCCTCAGCCTCTCCTCATAACTCATATGTTCCAGACCCCTAATCATTTTTGTTGCCCTTCGCTGGACTCTCTCCAATTTATCCACATCCTTCTTGAAGTGTGGGGCCCAAAACTGGACACAGTACTCCAGATGAGGCCTCACCAATGTCGAATAGAGGGGAACGATCACGTCCCTCGATCTGCTCGCTATGCCCCTACTTATACATCCCAAAATGCCATTGGCCTTCTTGGCAACAAGGGCACACTGCTGACTCATATCCAGCTTCTCGTCCACTGTCACCCCTAGGTCCTTTTCCGCAGAACTGCTGCCTAGACATTCGGTCCCTAGTCTGTAGCTGTGCATTGGGTTCTTCCGTCCTAAGTGCAGGACCCTGCACTTATCCTTATTGAACCTCATCAGATTTCTTTTGGCCCAATCCTCCAATTTGTCTAGGTCCTTCTGTATCCTATCCCTCCCCTCCAGCGTATCTACCACTCCTCCCAGTTTAGTATCATCCGCAAATTTGCTGAGAGTGCAATCCACACCATCCTCCAGATCATTTATGAAGATATTGAACAAAACCGGCCCCAGGACCGACCCTTGGGGCACACCACTTGATACCGGCTGCCAACTAGACATGGAGCCATTGATCACTACCCGTTGAGCCCGACAATCTAGCCAGCTTTCTACCCACCTTGTAGTGCATTCATCCAGCCCATACTTCCTTAACTTGCTGACAAGAATACTGTGGGAGACCGTGTCAAAAGCTTTGCTAAAGTCAAGAAACAATACATCCACTGCTTTCCCTTCATCCACAGAACCAGTAATCTCATCATAGAAGGCGATTAGATTAGTCAGGCATGACCTTCCCTTGGTGAATCCATGCTGGCTGTTCCTGATCACTTTCCTCTCATGTAAGTGCTTCAGGATTGATTCTTTGA